AAAAAAAAAAAAAAAAAAAAAAAAAAAAAAAAAAAAAAAAAAAAAAAAAAAAAAAAATAAGAACTTTGGTAAGTTCGCGTTGATCGATTAATGTTAATTAATCTCGAGAGTTTAAACGGATCATCGGATGCATGTACGCATCATCGCTTTGGCAGTACAAAAAGTTTTATCACATTAAAAGCATTTGCTTTCGATAAGTACTTGCCGATATTTTCGCCGATTTTTATTTTTACGCTGAAAAAATCGCTATTATTTTCCTTGATTATTGTGAAAAAAAAAAAAAATAAATAAAATTAAAAAAAATGTGTATACACATAAAAAAAATTAAACGCCACAAGCAACCCACCTGTAACGATCGAACTTGGCGTACTTCTTCCAGTCCTGTGGATTGCTCCTGTAGGCAGACATGAGCTCCTGCACATAATCAATGTCAACGTCGTCGGTGTCGAAGGCCTCGTGCAGTTTCTCGATCAGATCCGTCAGATCAATCGACTTGTTCGGCACTTGGTGGGAAAAAATCGGCATCCCCCTACTCATAAACATCTGCCGATTTTTCTCCGCCACTTGTTGCTGTTGTTTTCTGCCACACTCGTCCATTTTGACAATGCTCATTTTGTTTTGATTATTATTTGTTGTGTTTGTTTGTTTTTTTTTTTTTTTTGTTTTTAATTCAAACCAATAAAGCCACAATTGCACCAAGAACCCCCTGTCGTACGGTATCCGCGGATAAAATAAACCCTCGGCTGATCGGCCGATTTTTCCCAAAAGAGCCCCTCAACCTTTATCCCGTCAAAGTATATGTAGCCGCGAAACACCGAGGACCAGCCGAACCAGTACTGTGCAGCGTGCAAGCGCGCGAGAGTCACTTGCTACGTGGTTCGGCTCCTAACTATCTGCGGGAGCAAGATCACTCCCTCCTTCGAGCGACAATGCCTTTTTTTCCCTCCCTCCCTCCCTTCCATTTTTTTTTTTTTTACAATTTTTCATTCACGCGCACGTTTTCTTTTATCGCGCGGTAATGACGGAAAGATTTTCAGAGAGAGGGAGAGAACTCGCGGATGATTCCGCTACGATTTCAGATAAAATTTGTCGCGTGTTTTTTTTTTTTTCCCCCTCATCGAAATCACCGATAGACAGATGTGTGTCTCGATCGATCGATAACACGAGCCTTGACATTTAGCTACGAAAGATCATTGTTTTTTTCTTCCATACGGACAATTGGCCAGTCGCGACGATTTCGGTAGCACCTCCGCCGCGCGAGCATTTAATGCCAAGATTCGGACTTGTACGCTGTGTCAACAACGGCAGAAAAAAACAAAAACAAAAAAAACAGTGCATTGGGTTCAAAAAAACGTTATTAGGGATGATTTTCGTTCGTTTGATCGGACGTGAGAATGACCCTTTGGCAAAGCCGGTGTTTCGCGCGCGCACTCGATCACATTAGTTGAATAACGAGCCCAAATTTGTTTTTCAATCAAAGGCCAAATAATACAGTTGCCCGATGTGAAAAGTAAACAAACAAGCAAACGTTTATTATTCGCAAACACAAGTTATTGACGCTGTGAATACAATACTCCTCGTTATCTCGTTCGAGTCTGGTACAACATGGATTTATCTTGTAGAAGTGTTTAAATACAGATTTTGAACAGTCCGTGTGCCAACAGTATGTTACGTCAAGTTTAATTATATCAGACTTGGGTGTACGCGTTTCAATTTTTTTTTTTTTTTTTTTTTTTTGCACAAAATATAATGTATTTCTTGAGCCAAAAGTTTTTTTTTAATTACTACTCGTACAGAGTGCTTGAAAAAAAAAAAACCAATCAGAAAAAGGACAGAGTCAAAGTGTTTGAAAAAAATATTAAACTATATTTCGTTTTGAATACTTGGCAGTTAATATCTAAATATTTATTGCAACTATCTGCGATGAAAAAAAAAAANTTTTTTTTTTTTTTTTTTTTTTTACTATTTAAAAAAAACCCACCCAACAAAATAACCGTGCCCAAATCTGATTATGGCCTTCGGTGTGAATGAACAATCCAATCTCGCGGCTCTTTGAATGTATGATTTATTGTTTTATATACACAAGTATACTTGCGAGTTGATCATCGGTGTCTCGATTTTTCCAAAAGACGCGTTCAGCAGCGTGATGGATGTCCAACGATAAGTACAAGCGACCTCGAAACACATTTGGCAAAATTGAGGTAAGGTAAATTTAAGAAAAAAAAATGAAATTATTTTCTGGCTCACTATAGCGAATAATATTCCACGCACTTTTTCGATGAAACTCATTTTTGGGGCACCGGAACCCCTTTACTTGCGCCAGTAGGAGCTTTTGCTCTTTTTCCCCTTGCATTTGCCCATACAGTCTTCAACGCATTTTTCCGTGCCCACCGCACGCTTCGATTTGGCCCTGTGTTTTTTCGATTTGCTCTCGTACAGATCATCGTGAATCGAAACATCGGGTTTTCTGCAGGTACACGTGCACAGCTTGGAACTCATTTTTGACGAGGCGCCTTTTCTCTTGGCCCCGAAAGATCTTCTGCGCTCAATTTCAACGTACCCAGTGTTTCCGTGCTTTATGGGATGAAAATTGAATTTTTTCGTGGTAATCTCACCTGTCGCACGTACAAGATTTATCTCTTTCCTTCGTCTCTTCTCTGTTTGCGTTGGGACAGGTGCAAATGAGTTTCGTCGCTTCAACGTCGGTACTTAAACAGTTTTTTGCAAAATCTCTGGGAAAAGAAAATCGTCGATTCGATCGGATGAAAAGTATCGGTTGGGCACACACTTGTAAGTTATAGTTGACCCCCCCATCTCACAGTTTTTTCACGCTCGGATTGCTCTCGACGCTCGAACACGATCTCTTAGTCTTTGAATACCGTTCGACAGTTCGATCTAAAATAAATTAATAAATAAACTACATTTGATCGTCTAAAAAAAATAAATAAATAAATAAAGTTTGATTTCCAATCAAAAAACGGCTTACCCGAAGACGAAGCTTCCGAGCATATGTAAATGTTGACGGTTCCTGCCATACAGCGGCTATCGAATTTTTTCGACGTCATTTCGGATGGATCGCAATTGTCTCCCTGATTTCGGCCAAAAATATGTTAGGTGTGGAAAAAAAAAAAAAAAAAGGTGTGCTTGTCGTTTCTTTTTTTCTTTTTTTTTTCTCCTTCGGTATTTCGTTGTATGGATTGGCATAGTGCGGCAGCCAGTTTTCCAAAATCGCCCTCCTCCTTCGATAGGTTACATCTTGACGCGCGAAACACCTTGTCCGAAAAAATTGTGTACAATCAATCAAGCTGTTTTAACAAATTTTCTGGTTTCGACTATAAAATAGCACTGCGCGGCCTCGAGCCACATTGCTTGATCAATATTATACCACACTCCACTTGTAATTTTAATCGTTGGCTCGAAAACAAATTTTTCCCGCAGCAATTTAGGTTGGATTTAAAAAAAAAAAAAAAAAAAAAAAAAAATCATTAGGTTGATTACTTTTTTTATTACAAACAGATGTGCACTAAAAATGAATGCAATAACTGCTCCGAGCATTTTCGTTTGTATTTATTTTTACAATCGTCATATTTATTCAATCTAATTGCATGTATAAAAAAATATTGAAACGGTTGGATTTAAAAAAAAAAAAAAAAAAACAAAAAACGAAACGAGGGAAACGACGACTGATTTGCGATGAGTTTTTTTTTTTCAACATCGGCACGGTAAAGATGGTTTTTAAATTATTCTCAGAAAAAAAAAAGAAAAAAAAAAAAAAACCTAATCCCGTGGGAAGTAAACTGCTCATTATACAGCACAAAGGTCAGAGGATCACTGTCAGGCAATTTAACGGCGTCCGAGTCTTTTGCTCTCCTTTTCGATGCTTATCTCGACGCTCGGGCTTGTGCGCAAAATACAAATGAGCTCGGACTCCCGGTTGGGCGCGTACAGGTACACACATCCATATGATGTACTTACAGCGAGAGGTGACGCATCAGCGCAACTGTACCGTTTGGCTTGCTTTATCGAACGTCTGACATTTTTTTTCCTTTTCCTGAAAGGGTCATCCGCTTGAAGCGGAGTGGTGAAAACTACGAGGAAAATGCTTTCAAGCTAAACAAATGCTCTTTTGTAAGTAAGTGTAAGTTCTACGTGGCAATGGGCGAAGGAAACCGGGTGTGAGAAGAAAACAGTTTTTTTTTTCTTCTTTTTACTACGATTGAAAAAAAAAAAAAAAAAAAAACAATTAATCACGTTTATGTGCTGTAATTTTGTATATAATACCATCACACAACTATATTGTTGTATTTTTGCGTGTGAGTGAAATAAATATCTACATCATAACTATGTAAAAGGATATTTACTTCCGTATTCAATAATAAAAAATAATCGGTACAGAACGTAATTGATAAATTTTCACAATTTCCAATTACACCCTTATCTTTTAAACTCAACATTCATAATGCAGTTATTGATTTACGTTTGTCTTATTTTTTTGTCATTTGAACGATAAAAATAAATAATTTATCCTCAACTGAACTTCCAATGACTTTTACAAATATATGTATTCTCAAAACTTCAGGATTAAAGGCTGTATCTTCAATATCTAACAATATCTTCATAAATACCTATATGTATACACACGTGTGATGACTTGCTTCGTCTTTGCGTCCAAATCCAAATGCACTTACTTGCACATAAAAAGTCCACTGTACAGGTACCTATAGATATAATGTTTTATAAATCGGGTGTACGTATTGTTGCTCGAAAAAAGCCGTGATCTGTGGATTGAGAGAAAAAAATAATAAAAATTGTAGAGAAATTTCAGCAAAAATTACGATTTTTGGACTACCCTCAATGGTCAATAAAATAACATTTTAAATAGTAAAAATTATGGTTGCAACAGTAAAAATTTCTATGCGGGAAATTTATCAACCGATCCTTTTAAGGTTTACTGTTATATCATGTATTTTGTAGTATATTTATAAAAATATATAATTTACATCGTATATTTTTTTCTCTCACAATCAGTGTAACACCAGTCCTGTGTGCTTTCCAGATTTGATAAATTTTTATTTGTTAAAAAGCAATAAATGTTGATACACGATTTTTAGTACAATATGTAAGAAAGAAAAATTTTGCTTTCAATTAATAATAAAACAAGAAAAAATAAAATGTCCCAATAGTGTAATAACGATATTTGCAAGCTTATATAACAAGTTAATGTATAAAAAATGCGAATGTATATATTTATATAAGTGTCTCTGAATCTTAATGCACTTGTAATGTGTTCAATTAACGGTTGTATCGTTGCGTAGATAATTATTATACATATGCGCATGAAAATGTATATATATTTACCAAGATGATTCGTGGAAAACAGAACTACATATTCTCGATTAGCAACATGTTTTTCCACATTTTGTAGCAAGTCTCGTAATCGCTAAAAGAAAATATCTTTTAATACAAATACAAATTATTATTTCAACAAATGTTTATATTATTTCACTCTGCTAAAAGAATCGGCTTCCGTCAGAAATTGTCGATGCGATGTCATTATTTTTTGTATAGAAATTGCAGGTGACTGACGTTTTTTTACAGCAAATACATTTAGCTGTAATGCATAAATAATAATTATATAAATGTGCATTTATACCAATTCCTGAAAGCTCCTTCTTTTATATGACGCATATTCACATATAATTTAATAATTTTCGAAGGTCAAATTGTTACATTTTATAATTGCATTAATCGTTAATAATAAAATTACACTATAAGTACTGCGGAAGTGACGGAAAAAAGGTGATGAGCCGTGTAAGCTGTATGTATACAGCATTTGCTACTACGTGCAATGTCCATAAACAATTTGAGAAATTTCCATCTTTGATTCTAACGATAGTGAAGATGTACAACTAAAAGAAAATAAAATAAATCAAAGTCTTTTCCACAGTATGCCATGAATGATCAAGTATTCAATTTGAGAAATTTAATTGATTATTGCATCAAATTACATCGACCTTTGTTTATTCGTAAATTTTTTTTGTAAGACTTTAACATAAGCATTTTTGCATAGTATGTATATACATATTTATATAGTAAGAACATGTTATTCACATGTATCTATCTTTCGTTGTTTAATGGGAGCTGATATGAGATAACAATACTTTTTTTCATTGAAATAAAAAACTATAAATATACACAAAACTTGAATAATGTGTCATTGTTGGTGTATAGAGAAGATGAGATTTCTTCTTAAAAATAAATAAATAGATGTTACTTCGGCTTCGGCTTGTCGGCTTGTCCGGGGATCGCTCACCAGATGGCGTTCACGGCGTTGTTCGGTAGTTAAAATTTTAAGGTTAAGTCGGGTCGGGTCGGAACTGTCGGAAACTTGGAAAAGTCGCCGACTGCCGACTCGGAACTCGGAACCGACGGAACCTAGAGAACAAAAGAACCCAACGTAACTTCGTTGATTGCGCGGGAACAACACAACGCTTAGCAAATGCAAGTAAACGTCGTGTTCCACGCAGTTGACAAAGTAACAAAATAATTGTTACTTCGTTATTAAGTACTTATCTGTCAAACTTTGCAGTTTCTCGACTACTTATTTACTCTAACGTTGAAGAAGAAACAATTTAAGCAAGGTCTTAGCACGTACCTACAAAACAGGCAAGTTGTTCCCCGTTTTTTCTCGCCTTTTGAAACTTTTGATGTCAATAGTCAATTCTCTATTTGTTGTACCTATCGCGCATTACTGTAATATATACATACCTAGTGCTTAATTCCTTTTAAAGCTTCTGTAATCTTTTGTTCCTCTACCGACGACACACTCATGCACCATAATGAAAATTTTGAAGCTATATATTTCTTTGCAATGTGAAATTTCATCCCTTCTTACTTTCTATTTTCGTGACAATGTCTATAATTGATGTTCATAGCGTTTACGTTCCCAAATAGAAGTAAGGGTTATTTTTTTTACCATTTACAGCTTAACAAAATGTTGATAAAAGAGAAAAACGCCATTTTTAAAAAGCTAGCATCTCTATCTCTACAAGATGTCAATTGGTATGCGACAAAACCTCGGTCCAAAGATGAGGAAGCCTCTGAAAGAGCAAGGCAACAGGGTAACAAACTTTTCCAGCAAAAGTCACATTCCATTAATTTGCATACAAGTATCTGGGAATTGTATTCAAGAAGCATAGCCTTAGCTCCCACTGAATCAGAAACACTAGCTTTAGCTTTTGGCAACAGGTCTGCCTTATTGTTTGATCTGTTGCTATTCAAGGACTGTATTCTAGATATTGATAGAGCAATCAAAATTACAAAATCTAATGTATACGAGGCCAAATTATTGTGTCGCAAAGCCAAGTGTTTACATGCTCTTGGTTCACCTGAAACGAACGACGTCTTGCTCAAAGCCAAGTCTTACGTACATCTAATGGATGATCAGGATGCCATAAAAATACGTAGTTTGATTGAAACAACTGAAATATTTATTAATCGCCCGTTTGAAAAGAAAAGTGAATATAAACCCAGCTTGATAGAGATTAAAAGAGAAATTGATAATTTTCAAGATCTTGCTATTAACTATGATTCGAAGCACAAGACGCATTTAATTGCAACTCGCGATATTGCACCTGGAGAAATAGTATGTGTTGAAAAACCATATGTTACATCAATCTTACATCTTGTGAGAGCAAATAGTTATTGCAGCCATTGTTATGATCCTTGTTTAACAACCATACCATGTCCTACCTGTACATGGTGCATGTTTTGTTCAGAAAAATGTAGAAAAAACGCTTGGAATCAGTATCATGACATTGAATGTCCTATTTTTAAAGATTACAAAGAAGTTCCCAACAGTGAATATCCTGTACATATGGCTCTCCACTTGATAGTCACAGAATGGCGTAAACATGGCTCTGTGGCAAAACTTAAATCTTTTGTGAAGAACATTGATAAAAAAAAAGGTTAATTTAAGTATATTTTTCATTAGTGCTGACATTTTTCCTTCTTTATGGACAATAAAACCATTTAATGAATTATTGTTTTTTAGATTATTTTTCAGGAAAGTTAGTTGATAACAAAGTTCTACATGACAATAAATTAGAAATTATATATTTTACCTTGAAAAATTCTTCACTAGAATTGCCTGAAATAGATATTGAAGTAGCCACTGACATGTTAGTTTCCCTAGCTGTTAACACTACATTTTTTGGGAAAAACTTTTGTACTGCTAAGTATAAAAATTTGGCTAATGATGGAGATATAGTATTCATTGGTGCTTTGATATTGAAGTTTATTTATTTGTCAACTTTTTCTGTGATAGTAAGTGAAAACTTTTTTTTTTAACGAAATAATGCCAATCCATAGGTATAAAATATTGGAATGTTGCCATTTTCAATTCTAAATTAGTTTTAATATTTGAAGATGATTTAATTCCTACATTATATTCAAATTATATTGATAAGTATTCAATATTTAATGCACTCATAGTTACCATTTTATTTATCATTGAATAAATTTTACTAATATGGCACTTTTTAACATAAAAATTATAATACTACAGTAATCTATTTACATTAGCAAATAAATATGATTTGTAATAATAATAATAATAAAAAAAAATACTTTTTACAGATGTCCAAGATAGCAGTTAGTCAACGAGATACCGATCCTGCAGGTGAATGCATGGGTATTTGCCTTCCTACTATTTACAATGTATTTGGACACAATTGTGATCCGAATGTAACGCGGGCCGTCAGAGATAACAAGCTTATTATCTATGCTATAAAACCGATAAAAAAGAACGAGCAGGTGATATTAATTGTTAATTAATAAGCAAACATATTTTTTGATGATAAAATGGGTGAATTGCTAATTTATCATCTTGTAACTTTCAGATGTTTGTTTCCCAATCAGAGTCTTATAGAGTATGCATGAAACCTATAAGGCAAATGAATTTAAAAAAATCATTCGGTATCACCTGTAAGTGTCAAGCTTGTCAGGAAAATTGGCTGCCTACTAGCAACATTGCATTGAATATGATTGAGGTATTATTTTTGTTTTCTTATTAACTTCTACTGGAATGTTTCATAGTTTTTATTCATTAATTTAGAAAACACATATAACTAAGTAAAATTTTTAAATTTAATTGCTTATTGCATAGAATTCGTATAGTTAGAAACATTTTCACAGGTTTTTCCAACGAATTTTGATAAAATATTGTTTAAAACACCGTTGGAACGTCATCTATTCAAAAAACACGAGACAGTATTACTTTGCAAGGACTACATAGACCCTAACATGAAGTTTACGGAAGAAATGGCCTTAGATGTGGGTCAATCAGTTGCTACTGCAGTAAGAGAATTACCTCAACCTTCGTACATTACTAGTCTTTTAATTAGATCGCTTATTTACATATTTCTCAATTTATATGGTTATGTCCAAGTAATACCTTATGTTAACTGCAGCAAATCTAAGTCGATAAATTAATATGTATCAGTAATATAATACAGTTTTGCTGACAATATTATCGCTTATCATTATATGTGAAGTCTTAAAAGATTAAAATCTATTTAATACTGTAACTCTTGAGCATTCGTCAAGATGATTGAAAATAAATTAAAGTATTTTTGTTTAAATAAATATTGTTGCTTGACATATAAATGTACTCGTCTTAATTGTTTTTTAAAATATACACCAATTTTTATGCTAACTGTGACGGCTTATTAGGCTGAAATGTATTTTGTAGAAAGTTTTCTGCTGTTAAATAATAAAAAATAGAACAAAACTTCCTTCTAGTATATTAATGTCACCATACTTGGGCGTGTTTGTCGATTTTTAATGTAAAACTATAATAATTTCTGTGCAAAACTATGATAGTAAGTATAAATTAATAGAGAAATGGGACCAAAAACAGAACAAACACATGGTAACTTACTTAAAGAATATAGGTAACTTACATGCTTTTGAACTGCGACTTGTAAGTAGCTCGAAAATCCATTGCAATTTTCAGAGAATCAAAATATTAATTCAAATGCATATTTTAAATAAGCTTAATAAATGGTAAGCCCGTAAATAATTACAAAATGTTAGTAAAACTGTAATGTTGAATCGTACAAATGTCGAGTGCATCGGCGAGTGAGCTTGTCGACTGTTTATACAAATTCCATGTACTTATGAGTAATTTTTTTTTTTTAATTCGGCTTAGCTTGTCATTTATTTTGTCAAGTAGTGAACGTGTACCTATAGCATATACTTGGGTATGGGAATTTGGGAACTCAAAACTCAAAACATATTGTACTTATACACCTCACACACTTTCTATCCGGAATTTTGGGGATTCTACGTCCTACGATTCCTGTGGCGACATAACAAGTAGTTATTGGGATCCACACTTACTTGTGTCACCATAGAAATCGTAGTGTTGCCGCAATAAAACTTATCAAGGGATCCCTCAAAACTCTGATGAACTATATGTCTTTATATTGAATTTTATACTTAGTTGGTTTAAGATCAATAAGAATCTGATTCATTCATTACAAGTGCGACGTTTCATCCTTAAAAATCAGAGGCACACCAACAATATGCCATGTAACAAGAGGAAGTCTAAGGTTATTTTTTATATTTATCTTTTTTCTTCCTATCAAAGATCGAGCGCCTGACAATACATTACCTACTCTCTTTAATAATTATTAACTTTAGTGTCACTCTTTTTTTTTCACCACTTCAAGTTACATGAAGTATAGCAAAAATAAATTAATCCATATCTTTTTTTGCTCCAGAAATCATTTGAGCTGACAAAACGAAGCAAAGAAAATGATGAAAACTTCTTAGAAAATTATTATCCTGAGTACGCAACTTACCATGTACCGATTCGTAAAATATTCTTCCCATCTGTTCCATGCCACGTAAGAGTCAACCATTATCACAATAATTAGACATTAAAATGATTGACCAAAATGTTTTGTGTGTATTACGACATAGTTCAAAAGCTTTAAAATACATGGAAGATAACAAATTAAAATATCCCATAGGTGCAACACAAGGAGTTGAAAAATGCATTAGTAGTCCATGGAAAAATTGATGACTGCATACTGAAAAAAAGAAAATCCGGGGACAGCTATGCTTTTGTCACATACCATTCAGTGGAAGGAGCTGCTAGGTATTTGAACCCCAACAAGCTTTTAACAATTATTCTTTCATTTACAAAAAAGGAAAGATACATTTTTCAATTAATCTCTATATTATTGACTGTAGGGTTGTGTCAGCAGCAGGGATAAGAAAAAAAATATACGTTTCTGGACAATGTATACGAGTTTTGCCGGCTGATATTTGGCATCAGCCAGATCGCATGGCAAACCAGAATAAGCTCGAGCAGATGATAGGGAACAGCAGTAAAAGTGTGGTGGAAACAATGGAGAATTTCAGTTCAAAAGAATACATTAATCAACTCAATGACTACTGCCTTGGACATATTTTTTCATTCCTTAGTATCATGGATCGAATACGTGTGGAACGAGGTAAAACTATGAAAATTCATCATCAAAAACATTTTAAAAAATCATACCGCCAAAAGGTTTTTGTTTTTATGTATATTTTTGTAAAAATGTATAATTTTTTTCTATTTCATGCAGTCTGTAAACGTTGGCTGTCAGTTGGCTCACTGCAATCATGGTGTCCACTGAAAAGACTAGATGTAAGACCAAAATTATGGTGTGATACAAATAAAAATTTCAACGCATATATGGCAAGTCCTGCTTTGCCGTCATCTCTCATCATAACTGGACCAATTCTCCATAGTGTGTTGCGCCGCTGCGGCAAGTTCATCACAGAAATCGATCTGAGGATGAACTTTCACAAGCTGGAGGCCAGCGTGGTCATTGTCATAGCAAAGATGTGCCCGAACCTGCGTTCCCTTTATCTCCTAGGTACAGTCGCTGTGACACCTTTTGGAGTCCGGGCACTGGCCCGCAACTGCCCCCACATTACCAAACTCCAGATCACCAAGGCTATCTGGCCCAAGCCCAAGTGCCCTAGTATTTACAGACGGCCCGATTGCTGTGGACATGAAGATGATGTCTATGATGATTATTATTCTTGGGTTTGAATTTATTTTCGTGAATTTCACTTGATGAAATTAGTACGAGAAACAAAAAATTAACTCGTTATGATACTTTTCTTGTGATGAATCAAAAAAATATTTATGGTAAATCTAGTTACTTGTGTGCACGTAGAAAATGAATAATATTAACAGTCATGTCACTAAGAATGATAAATATTTCTAACTTTAATAACATATCCTTAAAAATACTAGAAAAATCAAGTTTTTTGAACAATACTTAGATAATACAGTCATATAAAATTTTGTTTAATCTATAGTTCATAATATGTACTTAAAATGTATGATAAAATCACTGTATATTTCCAAATGAAATAATAAAAATTTATGATATGTATATTTTACAGTCCAGTAATTCTATGAAAATGGTCTTCTTTGATGCTGGGTTCCGAACATTACCGTAACGGTACTTTTTGTGCAATTGTGAAGCCTCAAGTCGAAATTTTTCAACAAAATTTCGTTTGTCACATCTGACCCCTTCGTGCACTGTAGTAGACTAATCGATAACGTCAAATCCCTCCGAGATTAGGGGCGTTACGATTATTTTACCGGGAAAAACGCTCTGTACTCTCTCGACGAAACTGCGATTGGCCATCTTCAAATTTGGAGCTGCAAAAAATTGACAGTCTTCGTACATTCCGAAATATGAAATAATTAATTCCCAGTGTCTGAAAATTAATCGCTTGGCAAAATTAAATCATTTGTGGTGCGCAATTTAAAAGTGGCAAAAGTAGGCTTCACAATAATGAAACGTCCGCTACTAGAAAATACAACTTTTTTTTCCGGTTCTAAACTATCAGATGAGGTGCTCAACACCACAAACTTGTGGATAATACATCATGTTTGAAAAATTAAAAAATCAATGTGTAGGCGCCAGAAGCCGAAATAAAAAAAAGTTTTCAATGCTTCGCGTTGCGGTAATGACATTTGTGCCTTTTTTTTCAATTCTACGGACACGTACGAAACTTATTTAAGATGACATAGGGTTTAAACCGTTAAAAAACAAGTTCCGACTCCGAACAATGCAATCCGTCTTTTTTAAACACATGGGCTTCATGGAAAATAGCAGTTTTTGTAAAATGGCCCATGTATGTCAAGCCAACAAAATTGTACTTTCGACCAGTTCAAATATTTTCAGTACAAAGAAATATATGTATATGCGATGAATTTGCCGTAGTCACCCATCGAAAGTGAATATCTGGAATCGTGCAGGAATCGTGAAAATGAAGCTCAATGGAGTAAGTATATATTCTTCACACCAAGGGTGTCGGTAATTCGCTTTCCCTTTTGGTCATACGTGACAAAACCACAAATCTTTACTGGGAGACCCAGGACTTTCGAAGTTTTGAATTATGTTTTTCGTATCGTACGATACGCATTGTTTTCGACCCATCGATACCAAAATTTGTGTAAACAAGATGATTTTAATGATATATCCCACGCAATGTAGGAAGTGTTAATTTTTTTTTGTCTTATGAAAAGTACAACATTGTAGGAAAATTATTTTATAAAGCATGGCCCGTTCAAAAGATACATTTGATGGGAAAAAAAAAAACACTTTACTGCATACTAATTATTTATATTATGTTCGTACTTGTAACGAAAGCGACGGAGGTATATATGTTCAAATTTCATCTTCGTCGAAGAGACGAAATTTTATTGCAAGTATATACCCAATTGCGGGGCTTCAAACACGTACGCGTCTCGAACGAAATCATAAACCTGCGAGTTTTTATCTTCGCACGTACACATACGAGCACGTCATCTTGAGACACGTACACAAAAGGAAAATCGTATGACTAAGTAATGGTACCTATAGTATACTTACATGGAACTGCGGAAATATAGTCGGGCAGATCGATCGATGTATCGATGATTTTCTCACTTCGAAGGAGACAAAATCTTCCAAAATTCAAACAAATTAATTTTACATACTACTAAATTTAAAAAAATTTGAGGATCAACTTAATTTTTCCCCTTTGAGCCTACATTATTATTCTACCCCCCGTCTCCTATTGTGGCCCCTCCAAACACATGATAAACTTCTCTCATTCAACTAATACACAATTTTTTTTTTTTTCAAATTAAAATACCACACTTGTGCATGGGGTATGAGTAAACAGAAGGGATGTGCAGTTTAAAAAAAAAAAAAAGCCATGCTCATATATACCAAAACGTATCTTTTGGAAAACTTGGAAAAATAAATGCAGATGTAACAGAGAAAGAAGAAAAAGAAAACGCGCTGGACGCACGAATTTCCCTTAATTATGCTGTCTACCCTCTCGATTCGCTAAGGACCGAACAGGACTCGGGAGACGATGGAGAGTTCTCAGTGCTCGTACTTTCTCTCCCCCAATCGGTGCGTCTTGCACTGCACGTTGTACGTACCTTTTGCGAAAAGGAAACTCGTGTATAAAACCCATCGGGCAGTCGTCACTGCGATCATTCGAAGGGGGAACGCTCCGTCGGGCGACGCCTTATTCTGGACCCCAAAGTTTCCTCGGAGGCGGTATACTTGCAAGTCCCCATTTTTCTTGGAGAGAATCCGCAGCCAAAATCATGGCAACTTGGCAAAGTAACCCTGGTGCCTACTACCATTACGGACGCGAAGGTACAGTTTTTTTTTTTTTTTTTTTTTTTTTTTTTTTTTTTTTTTTTTTTTTTTTTTTTTTTTTCATACCAAACGTTTTTACACGTAACAAATAATACATCATTTCAACAGATTACTGTGATTTGATTCATCCATCGGGAGGATCGTGGGCTTATTCGGGAGTACCACCTGCAACGTATCTCAGCGCACCGGCTTATCAAACGATTTATTCAGGTATTTATTTGTATATGTCATAATGTACATATAATTATGTTATACAACTTTTTTTTTTTTTTTTTTTATATTTTAAATAACAGCATCACTGCTCGAGAGATTGGAATATTTTTCATTCATGTATTTTTTTGTTTTTCAATGAAAAATTTCAGATTTGTCACGGCCCACTTTTGTCACATACGACTGCGACGTGCCGGCACCGCAGCCTGCGATCAAAAACCGAGATCTCGAGCAAAGAATATCGGGTTTCGGCACAACAACGCTACGGCAAACATTCGTCAGGTCGGTACTACAATAACAAATAAAAATTGACGCGTTGACAAATAAAGAAAAAAAAAATATTCTTAATTTCTTTGTAGGAAAGTTTATCTGATTCTCACGCTGCAATTGCTGGTGATATTCGCGACAGCGGCTTCTTTCGCGCACATCGTAGATGTAAACGTTTTCGCCCGACGCCACGTGAGCCTGGCCTACGTTTGTGCATCGACGACCTTACTCCTGGCCATTATCATATCCTGTTGCCCGAGGATCCGAAGAATGGCCCCGCTGAATTACGTTTTTTTGACAGTGTTTACCATTGCCGAGTCGCTTATCGCCGGTTTCATCGCTAGCGCCGATTACGAGAGCCACGTGAGTTTTTTTTCACAATATAATAGCTACTATGTATACTATGTTCACAATGAACGGCCGTTTGTGACATTTGACTTTTCTATCCCTCGTTAAGAGCGAGATATAAGTACGTATTTGTGGGTGGATGTGCATGTGTTACCATGTATACGTATAACGAGTGTGTGAATAAGATTACGGGTAAACGTGATTTTTAACTCGAGTGCAGCGTAAAGTGAGCAAGTGCAAGCCCGATTATTTCAATTTGTGCGCGTAAAAAAAAATGGCACTTTCCGTATATATACTTTTTTTTTTACCATCGTGCTTGTACGAGTTTTTGATGATTTATACACCTATATGCAGTGCAAAAAATAACATTGTACACGCAAATACATGTTCTGTTACAGGTTTTGGTCACAGTGGGCGTGACGGGGGCGATCTGTATTACTCTGACGCTCTTTTCGCTCCAAACGAGACTGGAATTCCTTGGTTTCGGCATCTACTTTTTCATCTCGGGACTAGCGTTAATGATTTTTGGAATCGCCCAGCTGGTCTGCAATCACCATTATCATCCAATTTGGTTTCACTGTACATCCGGGGCTCTGCTGTTTTCGTTTTATTTGATATACGACACGCAATTGATGCTCAGCGGCGATCACGTGTACGCTACTCTGTCGCCCGGAGATTACGTGTTTGCTGCTCTCAACCTGCACTTGGACTTTGTTAACGTTTTCCTTTATCTTTTCAATATTATGAGATTACCGTGCAGAAGTTGAAATATATAATACGGGTTATTGGGTTGTTGGTAAAGTTAATTTATTAATTATAAACCAGCCACAACTAATTTGGTAGATACAAAATAATAAGTTAACATTGTCTGTGCTACTTGCGGCAAGTTTACAACTTATCTTTTACCTGAAAATGGATCACTACAAGTAAATAAATATTCTATTTATCTTATACGGCTTATAAAATCTACCATATTTACAAAATTACAATACTTTAGACCTTTTATCATTAACTAACTGAAGCACAGCCTTTTAACTTTATAGTTTAAATAAACAATCAACTTATAAATGCAAAACAGGATCGGGCTCAGCACACACCCCTGCCTCACACCTTTCGTACTCCAAAATTAACAATCAACTTATATAATATGTACAATTATATAATGTGTTACAGAAATCTTGAACAATGATTAAATAGAAACGTAAAGTAATCAGTCCAAAAGAGACAACTGAAGAAAAAAGGCTTAAAAAAAAAGTTCAGTCACACAGGAAGAGTCTCCTAAAAATGGAGCATTGGATCTCACTCAATCAGAGAAGGTTGGGTTCTTTGTTTATTTATAATACTTCAAATTTACTTCTCTGTAATAAATGTATTTTTTATTTAGTGAGATCCAATGCTCCATTCTTAGGAGACTCTTACTGTGACTGTGCATCTTTTTCAGTCCTTTTTTCTTCAGTTGTCTCTTTTGGACTGATTAATTCATGTACTTATGTATTCTACTGTTTTTGATGCTAGTTGAGACTTTTAACTTGTGCGCTATCAACCTTTGTTATTGTAATATTAAAACCTCACAACACAAATGTGTGATATATTGCAGAGGAACATATATCATATGTACATAAGAAAAAAAATATTACAGATTTCAGCGACTCAAAGTTTTTTAATCCAACATGGACCATTACAACATTTTTGAGGAATAATCAAAATGAATTTATTACATACAACAACTTGTTAACNAAAAAGGACTGAAAAAGATGCACAGTCACAGTAAGAGTCTCCTAAGAATGGAGCATTGGATCTCACTAAATAAAAAATACATTTATTACAGAGAAGTAAATTTGAAGTATTATAAATAAACAAAGAACCCAACCTTCTCTGATTGAGTGAGATCCAATGCTCCATTTTTAGGAGACTCTTCCTGTGTGACTGAACTTTTTTTTAAAGTCTTTTTTCTTCAGTTGCCTCTTTTCGACTGATTACTTTACGTTTCTATTTAATCATTGTTCAAGATTTCTGTAACACAAATCTTGGTATGTACGTATTATATAAGTTAACTGTTTATTTAAACTATAAAGTTAAAGGGCTGTGCTTCCGCGAGTTAATGATAAAAGGTCTAAAGTATTGTAATTTTGTAAATATGGTAGATTTTATAAGCTGTATAAGATAAATAGAATATTTATTTACTTGTAGTGATCCATTCTCAGGTAAAAAATAAGTTGTAAACTTGCCGCAAGTAGCACAAACAATGTTAACTTATTATTTTGTATCTATCAGATTATTTGCGGCTGGTTTATAATCAATAAGTGACTTTACTGTAAGTAGCAATAATTATTTGGATCAGCGCCATCTAGCGGTTTTTATTTTTTGGTCAAAAGTGGCTCCTAAAATTCTGAATCAGAGCAATTAGGATTAGAGCTATTTAGTCAATTATAAACCAGCCGCAACTCATGATGAAGCTATAAAATCAAAAAATAAGAATATATGTGTTTTTGGCGGCAAGTTAACAATCTATTTTCCACCAAAAAATTGACCTCCTGTGTATTTATACCTTTAAAGATAAATTTTTGAGCATAAGATAAATTGTTAACTTGCCGCCAAAAACACATGTATCGTTATTTTTTTATTTTATAGCTTTGTCATGAATTGCGGCTGGTTTATAATTGATTAAATGGCTCTAAGCCCTAAAGCTCTGATTCAGAATTGTAGGGGCCACTTTTGGCGAAAAAATGGAGACCGCTAGATGGCGCTGATCCAAAAAATCATTACTATATATATAATTAAATACTTACAGTAGAGCCAAATGTAATCCATTATAAACCAGCCGCAACTACTCATAGATAGGAGATGATAAAAGGCTGGGATTGTCTGTGCTACTTGCGTACTTGCAGCAAATGTACAATTCATTTATTACCCGAAAATCGACCTCCAAAAGTATAAATAAATAGGTCGAGTTTTCGAGATCGAGCGATCGAGACCATATCGAGAATCGCGTGAAAGAGAGAGAGCGCCAAGCCGCCCCCTCCCCGGCCCTGCCAGCGTGCCTTGCATGAAGTGTGAAGTATGGCAAACCCATTAAATTTTTGATTGGCATGAAGTGCAGTGTGCAACGGTGTAGTGTGCACAACACAATAAAAAATTAATTGTCGCGTATATACACTGTGCCCCTCCTGCAGCCATTAATACAACCAACGGATAGATTATTGATAGAGTTTAAGGCAGGTATATATTTCAGTGTAAATACCTCCTGAGAGGTGAACACACTATCATATAAAAAAAAGGTATATGTTTCAATAAAATAATAATATAATTATTTAATTTCGTATTGCTTATAAGCTGAACGATACAGCGATCAGAGCTATTGTTTATGGGGAACAACATATCATCCAAGCTTTCAATGGTATACTTTTACTCTTGTCCTGCTTTTTCCATGCTACTTTTAAATGTTGAGTATAATCGATTAGTATTGTAAAATTCAGCAATTAATGAAAATGCAACATTATAGAACCATTTTTTTTAGTCATACTGTACAACGAGTTTAAAAGTTTTTATTAAAGAAGACAAAATCACCGCTTCTGCAATACACGCAGGTTTACCTAATACCCATTGCTATGCTCACGAGTGCGTAGTTTAACTTCAATGTAACATATATTAATAATTTCAGCTTGGCAACAACAATCTTTACCTAATTGTAATCTGTGCCAGCATCATTGTTATCGCTAATTTCACTTTTTATTTAATACTTAATTTTATAACTTATTGTTTTAACTGAAACAAATACCAAAGAACCTACATCACTCATGTCGCCATTCTCTGTACCTACGCTTGTTAATATGTTAAGCATGAATCACAAGTGATAAGAATCATCTAAATGATTCATCAAACATTTCTATATTTCGTGTGGGTACCATATAAGTACTGTGTAATACAATATTAAATTTAATCTTGCGCTGATACTGACGGTAGCGAAGTGCCGGTTAGTCTGTTAGTTGACAAAGCTATGCAGTATATATAAACTTTTCCTTATCTCAAATGTAAAAAATTTAGTGGTTTTTTTTTTTTAGGTCAATCCCAATTAAATTTGAAATCTCACAATATCATGAGGGAATTTCAAAAAACTGAAGGTTCCGAGTTGGGAGAAATGAATAACTTTCAATTCAGTGAAAAAACAATAAGACAAGCATTCATAAGGTAAGTGCACTTGATGTTAATGCATTTTTATTTTTTTTTTTTTTTTATAAAATAAACGTTTCTTTTTATTACAGAAAAGTCTATGCAATACTATTACTTCAGCTACTAGTAACCTGCAGTATATCAGCTCTTATGACGTTTCATGAAGATATCAAATTGTTCATGCATACGTCCCCACACCAGATCATTGTCATAGTCTGCGCCATTATTGCATTTGTTCTCGTCATTGTTCTGACCTGCTGTAACAGTGTTTGTCGCAAGCATCCGACCAATTTGATATTCCTTATTATTTTTACGCTCGCGGAATCTGTAGTGGTTGGTTTCATTTGCAGTCTTTATGATCCAAAAAAGGTGAGTTAAAAAGTTATAATATAAAAATTAGTGGCATTAAAAAAGCCTAGCAGTCATCCTCATTACTGGAATTATTTGGAAAATTAGTTTAAAAACTTATTGTTCATATAATTCATGAAAATAAAAAGATAGCATATTTTTGGATGAGTAGACTAAAACGTATTTATTCCTCCAGTGAAAAGGAGTTTCTGAGTTGATTTTGGCTTTAAACTATTTTTTTGGTGTTTTTAACTTTTTATTTAATAATTTTTTGGTTTTTCCAAACTTATGTATTTTTTTTTATACAATGAAGTTTTTTTACTGCTATTGATACAATCAAAAACATTTAGAGAGCTATAAATAAAGATTTCTAGTTGCCATAAAATATTATTGTGTATAGTATATGCTGATTTTTTACCGTAAAGAAATATTAAGATCATGTAGTGTGTACTTACATACGGATTGATTTTTTCCCTGTTGAAGTGACATATATTTAAATATTAAATTAGACTTCAATGCTTGTATAGTTATTACATAAAACTCATTGGTCTTAATGATATTTACACATACAATTTATCGTTTGCAGGTTCTGCTAGCTGCAGGTATAACAGCTGCGATTTGTTTATGCCTGACAATATTTGCATTTCAAACGAAGTTCGACTTTACAGGCTTTGGACCTTATTTGTTCATATTTTTGATTGCATTAGTGATCCTTGGCTTTGTCGTTCCATTTTTTAGAAGCGAATGGCTTGTTACATTAGTCAGTGCCGGTGGAGCTGTTTTATTTTCTTTTTACATAATATATGATACTCAGCTAATGTTGGGGGGTGACCACAAGTACAGTATATCCCCTGAGGAGCACATCTTTGCGTCCCTTAGCTTGTACCTCGATATTATTAATCTATTTCTTTACATTTTGAGACTTTTAAGATAAATTTATAAAACTGAATACTATAAGTTTCAAATTTAAAATACGTTCTTGAATTATGACTATTTTAAAAGACTGACGGTTCTGTCTCCAAAATCATACTATACCGCAAAACTTGAATACCTCTTAGTTATATGTATGATTCACATAAAATACCAACCTTTTAAATGTTATTATTTCATTTATATTATACACGTTGCAGAGATATATTTGTTAGTGCATATTTTTCTTTTTCTCTTAATAATTTTTGCATATTTAAATCTTGGTTTATAAAAAATAAAACTAGTCTACAACTTTTGATGGCCTGTATGAGATTTTGATTTTTAGTTAACAACTCATTGTAAAGGTTCAAGTACATCCAAACCTACAACTTAGTTAACAACTGGTGAATGAAAAATAGTAACATATAAAATAATAAAATATGCCATAACAGCGTAACATTACGTTATGTCAACAGGTATCATGTTCTAAACAGTGAATTGAAAAAATGACTTCTCTTCAACGAAAATTTTTTAAACAAACACTGCGTAATTACATGTTATAAGTGAAATATTTGTTTTTATTAAAAAAAAGCCTTCACGTCTAACTACATGTTGTCTTATATTTTTAATAAAAAAAATTTATTTTTGTATTCATATCTAAAATACTGCCGGAGTATTACAAAAAAAAAAAAAAAATGGAAATCATAGTTTCAATGATTTAAATAAAAAGTTTTTACTAGTTACTTGCTTATCACTGTCTAATCGTTTGTAAAGTAAAATGTACTTGATAAATTTTCCAAGCAAAGCATTACATATACTTGATGTGCGTTTTTTGTAAAGTACTCTCTTTGATTATGTTTAGAGTTCATTGAAATTTGCTTTGATTGGAACAATTTATGTTTTATATATTAATATACTGCGATGCGAAATTTCAAAAATTTTTCTTGAAGACCATACAAGATGTAATATTATTTGAAAGATGAGTATTTTTACCAAAAAAATGTATGACTGAGCAAAGGTGCTAATAATTAAGATAACTTGTATTTTTTATACCGATTCTTAATAAATATTGTAGAAAAACTATTTTTTATAGTTATTTTTATTGTTTGCTATATAAATTAAACCCCAGCTAAAAACAGTTGCATCTATTTCCATAACATTCATTAAAAGTTTTTATTTCAATGTTTATTCGCGTTGCATAATGGATTAAAAAGTAAAAACCTAATGTTTCGTCCCATGAACTCCAATTTCTTGTCTTGATTTCCATTAATAGTATAATTTTGTTGCAATTTTTTTTTCTGAGATTTTGTTGCAACAGTGCTGTTCTTTACAGTAGTGTAATAAAGCATTATTGCATATCGACACACTAAAATTACATTATACATGTTCCTGATTGTATATTAACTTTGGCAATTATTATTATCTTTAATGCATGAGAGTGAACGAAAAAATAATTTGAATAACTCAAGCAATTTTTGGATTTTTTAATCTCTTTTTATTATGCACGTTGAATAAACAGGCGCGAGCGAAGTCTCAAGTGATTCGTCCTTCTAGCGACGAAGGACCACTTTATTGCATCAGAGACGTGTTGCTAAGAGGGATAGGTATACAATATAAATTAACGCAGAAAAAACTTACAAACAACCGACAGTACGTACAAAAAGGCTCTCGTACTTCACCTTTTTCGTGTGAGTTAGTTTACTTTTAATTCAATTGACGTTGTCCACACCAACGTGTTTCGTTTATTGCCTCGCGTCGCTCACTAGGACGTATAAAAAATATATGTATGTATATATATTTATATTTGTGTATAAAAGTCAGATTTTACCGAAAAAATAAATAAATAAATAAATTATAAAGATATATCCTATACGTCTTTACGATTTTTCCTCCATTAAACAACAGAATCGANTATAAAAAATATATATCTTGGTGATATATTACACTACACATTTACAAAAAAATCCATAAACAGGAGTACTTATTGTAAAAACCATAAGTTAAAGTTGAAATGGGTATATCAGAAGAAATAAATTATAAAGATATATCCTATACGTCTTTACGATTTTTCCTCCATTAAACAACAGAATCGACGCTCACGAAAGTAGGTGTAGTTGTAATGGACAAATATAATTATACATTCTTTCGTTACAATGTAAAACAACGCTCTTTTTCAACAAAAAAAATATTTATTCGTTTGTTGTTTAATTTGCACCATCTTATTATTTTATACTTTCTTTTTTTTCCTTCTCCAATATTTACTTAACAAACCTATCAAACGCTTATAAAATCGTTGTGTTATATACTTAAAATTCCTACCTCTTTCATGTAAATGTAAAATACAAATTTTTATCGTTAAAAAATTTATGTTTCTCATAGTGGCAGTAACACAATTCTCTTTAACTTTTAAATTGACTGATGAAAATGTGCTATTAATGTTTGAATATAATTTTATCATAAATCATTCTTTAACATAAAGCACACAGTATTTATCATATCAAGTGATGAATGAAATCGAAAATTGCCATCACGTCAATCTCGTTTTGCAAAACGGATGAAATCCAGTTTAATCGCAACAGCGGTCTTATTTTGTAAAGAGGTAAAAATATGTGCTGACACCCATTCTTGATTAAACACTAGATCCTTTAAGAAAGCGAGTGAGACTTTGTGTAAAGTTAAAATTCAAAATTTTTTGATTATAATATTACACTCTGGTACTTTAGAAAGACATTACGCATGTATTTACGTTGTCTTCCATTTTTGCAAATAGTCAAGTAACAGACAATGTACAATAAAAGCAATGATTTCAGTCACGAAAGCTAGTATTCTTAGGAAAATTAAGTTACAGAAAAATTTGTGCCTATTTAAGCTTATAAACTTTTTTTTTATAAAATAAACGTTTCTTTTTATTACAGAAAAGTCTATGCAATACTATTACTTCAGCTACTAGTAACCTGCAGTATATCAGCTCTTATGACGTTTCATGAAGATATCAAATTGTTCATGCATACGTCCCCACACCAGATCATTGTCATAGTCTGCGCCATTATTGCATTTGTTCTCGTCATTGTTCTGACCTGCTGTAACAGTGTTTGTCGCAAGCATCCGACCAATTTGATATTCCTTATTAAGGCTTCACAATAATGAAACNAATACATAGGAGGTATATATGTAGCGTCTCACATCGCGAGTAGAGCCTGAAGCGCGAGAGATGTGAGACGCCACATACATATATACACATACGTAGATGAGCAAATCAATAATATTTTTCAATTTTCTTCTGAACTTAAAGTAAAAACACGAGTTTAAACAGTTCTACACTTACTAAGCCTATATAAATTTAATATTCTATGAAAAAAATATTTAAAAAGTTCTACTCTTTGTAACTCCTGAGATTCTGGTACAGTCAACCATTAATCGAATCTTCTAGCGTAAAATGATCCGACAGAAAAGAACAATGAGCTAAGTATATTTAGAGAAAGATGAAATACGATCTTTTACAGAATACATCGGTCTTTCTCATTTGTATAAACGCACACGCAGCAGCAGTATAAGACGACTCTGACTCAAATAAATGAATTGTTAAATCTTCGGTAAAGGGAAGATTCAACAACAACCCCTAGTCGTTCGGTCGACTCTTCGGTCAACGGTGACGCGGTCCGGCGCATCGTGTATCTCTTTGCCATGGGTCTTATCAAGGATAGCCTCGGCTAGTTCACGGAAGGCTCGATCAATGTTAATGTTGGCCTTTGCCGACGTTTCCATGAACCGGATGCCATGTTCACGCGCTATCTGTAATTAAAAACATAATACTCATCACTTGTATGGTGTTAAATTGGTCATAAAATATCGTTGTATCGAAATGAAATAAAATTATTAACATAAATGAGTAAATTTTTCATGAAACTTATTATTTTTCTTAATCTCAGAATCGACAATCAGGCATACACAGTTTATTACTTAATTTTAATGTCACAAAGAACTGGTATACACTTGATACTGAACTCAACAAAAATCTAAAATTACTTACTGCTTCGCCCCTTTCAGTGCTCACTTCACGTTTCTCCTCCATATCACTTTTGTTTCCCAAAATCATTTTTTCTACATTTTCGTTTGCATGCTGCAATAAAAATCTTATATATTCTATCAAAAGATTTACTTCATTCAAAAAAATTTTTCATACCTCATCAATGTTTCTCAACCAATTAACTATGTTTTCAAAGGTTTTTTCATTTGTTATATCATAAACTAGCATTATACCCATTGCACCTCTGTAGTAGGATGTCGTGATGGTGTGGAATCTTTCTTGACCAGCTGTGTCCCTAAAAATAGCCGAGATACGTTCATCATACATTAAAAATAAATCAATATGTCATTAAGTTCCATTTTATCTAAAACTTACCAGATTTGTAGTTTTATTTTTTTTCCTCTTAATTCGACAGTCTTGATTTTGAAATCTATACCTACAAGCGATTAAAAGAACATACATTAGTCAGCAGTAACAATAACATGTACCTATCAAAGAAGCACAAGTGAAAAAAAAAAAAAAAGATCAGAAACTCAAAAGTGAACATCGAAGGAGCAAAACTTTGAGAATCTCGAAATAATACGCGGAAAAAAGTAATAGAGCATAAAAAATCAGACCTCTACAACCTGAACATCTAATATAACAATGAAATAATGTATATCTAAAGGTGTATTAGGTAAACTAAGAATTGAAGTGCTTTGAGACAAGGTTTAAAAATAAACTTGGAATCGCAACAGCAGCAGGGCTTTGGGGGTAGAGAGAAAAACGTCACCACCTCTGTACAAAGTATACATGAAAATATATAAAAAATATATATCTTGGTGATATATTACACTACACATTTACAAAAAAATCCATAAACAGGAGTACTTATTGTAAAAACCATAAGTTAAAGTTGAAATGGGTATATCAGCAGGTGTCTTACCAATAGTGGAGATAAAGGTCGTAGAGAAGGCGTCGTCGGAGAATCGGAAAAGTATGCAGGTCTTGCCGACTCCGCTGTCGCCGATGAGCAGTAGCTTGAACAGCAAATCGTACGTCTTCTTCGCCATTCTGTTGGATACTGAACTGATGCTTATTACAATACTATGGTAGTGTATGTGTGCTTGATTTGCTGTGGTAAACTATCTTATTCCTCTGAGTAAGTTTACTAAAAATTTGTCGGTACAGGTGTATGTAAGAGTGTGATGATTGCAAATTTATTTGCAAATTAATTTTATATCGGAGTCCGTTGCCCGTATAAAGCGGTTGTGCGCTTTAACTACTACCCTACTTATATTGTGCACACACCTGAACCTGAATCACTAACGAAGTAACGAAAAGCCCTTTATTTTTCTTCGTCTATTCTTGCTGATGTATGGGAACAATGGTTTTTTTTGTTTGTTAGTTAAATCTGCTTCAAGTACCTCTAAAGTTCTATATATTGTAGTCACTGTCCTCACACTGCATGAGTCTGTGCAGATAATGATATATGATCTATAAGTCTGTAGTGAGTCACTCTGTATTTTTAATCTTCATAGGATCATAGGTGGCAGTTTAATTCGTTGAGCGGGAAGTATAAAATTTACCAATCAAAGAGGTTATGTAATGGAATCAGCCAATGGGAATTGAATATTTGAATTTCCCGCTCAACAAATTAAACTGCCTCCAGTGTACACCGTGGCACGGTGTAAGATATACGTGAAGTTATGTGTAATAATTATAGTACCTAATCACTTCTAAGTAGTGCCATATGGTCGATTTTATTAAACCATATAAGTAGAATATCTATACTTTTGGAGGTCAATTTTCAGGTAAAAGATAAATTGTACACTCGCCGCAAACAGTATATACTATGTCAACTTTATATCTTCTATCTTTGAAAAAAGTTGCGGCTGGTTTATAATTGATTACATGGCTCGACTATAAGTATAGTAATAATTATTTGGATCAGCGCCGTCTAGCGGTCTTCATTTTTTCGCAATTTCGCCAAAAGTGGCTTCTAAAATTCTGAATCAAAACCTTAGGGCTTAGAGCCATTTAATTAATTATAAACCAGCCGCAACTCATTATGGAGCTACAAAATAAAAAAATAACGATACATGTGTTTTTGGCGGCAAGTTAACAATTTATCTTATGCTTGAAAATTTATCTTCAAAGGTATAAATACATAGGAGGTCGATTTTTTGGTAGAAAATAGATTGTTAACTTGCCGCCAANACGATACATGTGTTTTTGGCGGCAAGTTAACAATTTATCTTATGCTTGAAAATTTATCTTCAAAGGTATAAATACATAGGAGGTCGATTTTTTGGTAGAAAATAGATTGTTAACTTGCCGCCAAAAACACATGTATCGTTATTTTTTGATTTTATAGCTTCATCATAAGTTGCGGTTGGTTTATAATTTACTAAGTAGCTCTAATCCTGATTGCTCTGATTCAGAATTTTAGGAGCCACTTTTGGCGAAAAAATAAGACCGCTAGATGGCGCTGATCCAAATAATTATTACTACTCACAGTAGAGCCATGTAATCAATTATAAACCAGCCGCAACTAATTTAATAGATAGAAGATAAAAATTTGACATTGTCTATGCTATTTGCGGCAAGTGTACAATCTATCTTTTACCTGAAAATTGACCTCCAAAAGTGTAGATATTCTACTTACATGGTTTAATAAAATACCATATGGCACTACTTAGTAGTGATTACTATAATACTACACATAAGTTCACGTATATCTTACACCGTGCTCTCATTACCAGAATGATATAAAATCAGAGGCTGTATTCCGCAAATGCTGACGGGTTCTAGAGACGGGTTCCACTTACTATATATATATATATATAGTGAAACACATAGTGAAATATATAGTGATATATATATATATATATATAGTAAGTGGGACGAGGGAGGCTTCGTCGATTCTCGGTCTATCAGGTCAACTTTTCAAGATACTAAATCTATTTCGGCTACTTATTGTTTCCGAGCAATTCCCGAGTCTCGCGACTGGATGCCGGCTGGCTCTGCACCTCAGCTTTGTTTGTGGTCGCTTTGAGTATTAATGGGGTGTGGGGGGTAGTGTAGGGGCTCAGGGTAGTTTAAAATAAGATTGGGTAAGGGTGGAAACTGGAAAATTAGGAGGGTTTCCGGGTTTGATCGGGTTACTTGGGTAAAAAATTGGTAAAAGAGTAGTGCCCATAAAAATCATGTGATGTACGGGTTGGAAAAATAAAAAAAAATTTTTTTTTTTTAATGTTTGATGATACTGGACAACTTGACACTCCCCGAGATTATAAGGGAGCTATTTTTACGAGCACAACAGAATCCTCTCTTTTTACTCCCTTTTTACTTTATGGGGAGCAATTTTTTTAACCACATTAGAATCTTCTCATAAGAACTTTGAGAAAAAAATCACAGCTATTGAAATAAAGACTTATATAAAACTGTACAGTGCGTTTAAGTGGTAAATAAAACATAAACTGCTGTTTGTTTATGTTTTTGTCAGTTCCCGGCATCACACGCCATATTATTTTGGGGTAGTGCCTCTCAGCACATGCGCAGTTGGACGGTTTAATGTTTATGTGATGGTTTACCTTCGGGGAGTTAAACAACTGTTTGGTGATGGTGATGCTCTGGCGGGGTGACTGATTATGTGGGTGAGTTTTTGGTGTTTTGATCGTGCTTTACTACGTTTTGTGTGTGTGTACGTGTTGTCGAAATCAAAAACTCCTCCACTTTTCTTTCTCATCATTTTTTTGTTGCCACTAAAGAGTATTGACAGTTAATGGTTGCAGATAAAACTGGTGTCACGAAACGATTAGCTGGGACGAGTGGGTATAGTCTCGAGGGTTTGTAGTAGATATTTCATGCTCTTCACTGATGTTAATTATATGAAAAACTGAATGTTTCAGCAAAGAGTGATTGATTTTATATTTTTTGACTAAGATTGAAGGGATACTGATCTGCTTTCAGTCATCGAAACTTGCTCTGGTTCATTTCAAAAAAAGGTATAGCAGTAGGCTTCTTTGTACCTATACTGTTTCTATCAATAATCTGAGTGTTATCGGTTTACTCAGAGTAGTTTTTGAGGCCAATTCTTACTTTTTTGCTCGCCGTCTAAATGCTTGAGACTTGGGATGAATTTTTGGGCATTGTTCTTGGTATGAAATAAAGTAGTGAGTTTTGTTTTTGTTTTTGCTTTTAATCACATAAGCGCTGACATTTATCATTAAATAAAGCTTTGAATTATCCATCCAAGTCATATTTTACGTCATAAGTTACTGCTTCATACATAAATATTTATAATAAATCAAAACAATTTTTCTGGACAATATAACCTTCAATTGCCAAACAATCTGTAAACCTTGAAATGCATTCCTCGTTTTAACAACTAGCATTTGATATTTTCTTTTAAGTTTTCTTCATGTTTAGAGAATACTATTATATCACTTTATAGTAAGTACAAAAGATACGTTTTCACTTTTATATTGGTATGGCTAAAAAAAATTAAAACATAAACAATGTATTTCAAGTTTAAAGATAACATATATATGTGTATCAACTACTTGAGTGGATTTTTGTTGGAAATAAAAAAATGTGTACAAAAAGTTTTATTTAATGACTGTAAACATGATGCAATATGTTTACAGATGCAATAATATTAATAGGTTTAGGTTTGGATCAACATTAAAAAGTATTATAAGTTAGTTATTTCGAAAAGTATACATCTACTATCCAAACGAAGTTAATGCAATAGAGACATGAAAGCAATTAAAAGCCCTATAAACAAGTGGTATGGATGGACATTTTTCATTATTTCATTAATTATTTTTTATTAGTAAAAAAATGTTTCTTTTTGACCGAATGGTTTTTTTATCTCTTCAACAATTAGACTCTTTTAATTTTGCAGGACTGTAATGTAAACAAACTCTGGCTGTGCGCTCGATGAAAAATTTGACATTTGTCTAAAAAACGGGAGATTTACAGCTGACAAATAGATCGAAATGTCAATGGATCCCCTACAAGAAGTGCGTCAGCTAGAGCTGTTGTGCAAACAGCTCTACGAGTCCCAAGATTCAGCGCACCGGGTCGAAGCTGAAAAAGCCTTGGTCAACTTCCAAAATGCTCCAGACACCCTCACCAAGTGCCAGATGTTGCTAGATCGTGGTGATTCAGCCTATTCACAACTTCTAGCCGCGACCACTCTTACTAAACTCATCTGCCGCTCTGCTCAAGGTCTCAGCTTACAGCAGAGACTCGACATAAGTGAGTACTAAGAATCTGTCTTCATCGAGAATAACATTCGATGTGTGGTTAATGTTGACGTATTATTTCATTTTTTTTTTTTTTTTTTTTTTTTTTTTTTTTTTTTTTTTTTTTTTTTTTNTTTTTTTTTTTTTTTTTTTTTTTTTTTTTTTTCTAGGAAACTATGTTCTCAATTATCTAGCAACTCAGCCAAAATTGCCAAATTTTGTTATTCAAGCATTGGTTACACTTTTCGCTCGTATAACGAAGCTCGGTTGGTTCGATTCTGACAAGGAGGAGTTTATTTTTAGAAATGTAGTAAATGATGTTTCCAAGTTCCTTCAGGTCAGTACTTGAAACTCGTTCATTTCATAAGTATTTAAGTTTGAATGATATTCCTTTTCATTTATCAAAAAGAATTTTTTTACCTTACAGGGATCAGTTGAACACTGCATGATTGGAGTACAATTGCTTTCCCAATTAACAAGTGAAATGAACCAAATATCGGAAGTAGATGCCAATAGATCGTTAACCAAGCATCGTAAAATAGCAAGTAGTTTCCGAGATTCGCAGCTATTTGAGATTTTCAGATTGTCATGCTCACTATTGGGTACAGCACGTGAGAACTGTAAAAATTTAAATTTCAACGACGAAGCGCAGGTTAATCTCAACTCATCCCACAATTATTCATTATCCTCTGTGATACGTGATAATGATGGTGATATTTTAATTTTTACAGCACGGTCTAATGACTCAACTGTTGAAACTAGCACAAAATTGTCTAACATTTGACTTCATCGGCACATCGACTGACGAAAGCTCGGACGATCTTTGTACTGTACAAATTCCAACGAGCTGGAGACCGGCATTCCTTGAATCAACAACATTAAAATTATTTTTCGACCTCTACCATAATTTGCCCAACACTCTGTCGTCCCTAGCTCTCATCTGTTTGGTTCAAATAGCCTCAGTCAGACGTAGCTTGTTTTCTAATAACGAGCGAGCCAAGTTCCTGACTCATTTAGTAAACGGTGTCAAGCACACTCTGCAAAATCCCCAAGGGCTAAGCGATCCTGCCAACTACCATGAGTTCTGCAGGCTGCTTGCTCGATTGAAAAGCAACTATCAGCTAGGTGAGTATATGCCGAAATCCATGTGCACAAGTAGTATAATTTTCGTTTTACTCAAACTGTCGATTGATTTCAGGTGAACTAGTAATGGTGGAAAACTATCCCGAGGCTATTCAACTAATAGCAAAGTTTACAGTACAGAGTCTGCGAATGTGGCAATTTGCTCCAAATAGCGTGCACTATTTGTTAAGCTTGTGGCAACGAATGGTGGCATCCGTACCGTACATCAAGGCAGCTGAGCCGCATCTATTGGAGACGTATACGCCCGAAGTGACGAATGCCTACATTACTTCAAGGCTTGATTCTGTTACGGTTGTCGTAAGGGAAGGTCTCGAGGATCCGCTCGACGATCTTGGAATGATTCAGCAGCAGTTGGAGCAACTTTCTGTCATCGGCCGGTGTGAATACCAGAAGACCTGCACTCTTCTGGTTCAGTTGTTTGAACAAGCAGCTAGAACGTACCAGGAACTGATGACTCAGACCGCCTCGCCCAACCAGCAGATGGACATGCTCATACAGGAGGGGCAGCTGACTTGGCTTGTTTACATCATTGGTGAGTGTTGTGAACACGAACGGAATAATATATTGAACTGCATCGTTTGTACGAGTTGGTTTGACTTTGCTCTACAATTGCCATTGGAAACCGTTTTGCCAAACACGTCATTCATGATATCTTATTTCCAAGTAGAACAATCGGCTTGAAGAATGTACGTTAAACAACTAGCGTTTGTTGGATATTTTTCAGGGAGTGCCATTGGCGGCAGAGTATCTTTTAACAGTAACGAAGAGCACGACACGATGGACGGTGAGCTTGTCTGCCGAGTCTTGCAACTGATGAACCTCACTGATTCGAGACTGGCGCAAGGAGGCTGTGAAAAACTTGAATTAGCAATGCTTAGCTTTTTCGAGCAATTTCGAAAAATCTATGTGGGCGATCAAGTGCAAAAAAATTCCAAAGTCTACAGGCGGCTGTCCGACGTTTTGTGTCTCAATGATGAGTCCATGGTCCTTAGTGTGTTTATTAGGAAAATGTGAGTGACGGTAAAATAGGTATATGTTTTTTCTTTTGGGGTATATCGATAATTTCTTTTTGTTTTGCAGAATAACAAATCTAAAGTACTGGGGCAGAAGTGAACAGATAATCTCAAAAACCTTGCAGCTATTGAACGATCTATCAGCTGGTTACACTTGCGTGCGCAAGCTCGTGAAATTGGAAGAAGTACAATTTATGTTGAATAATCACACTGTACGTCCTCTTTTTGTTTATTTTTATCAAAAATGTATGTATTACTAACTCGTTTATTCGTATTACAGAGTGAACATTTTCCTTTTTTGGGAAACAGCGTGGCTGTGTCAGAAATGCGCTGTAGGTCGATGTTTTATGCCTCTCTTGGCAGGTTACTAATGGTAGATTTAGGAGAGGATGAAGAAAGGTTTCATACTTTTATGCTTCCTCTGACAGGTATTTTGAATTTTTTATCATTTTTTTCATTACTCTTTCATAAATTGAATGTTAAAAAAAATGTTCACAAAATCATTCAGGTGCTCTTGAAAGCTTGGGTCAATTAATGCGAGCTGCCGACACTCCGCTCTTTTCCGCCGAGGAGGCTAAAAAAGCTTTAATCGGCATAGCAAGAGACTTGCGTGGATTAGCTTATGCGTTTAACACGAAAATTTCTTACATGATGCTTTTTGATTGGATGTATCCTTTATGAAAAAAAAAAAAAAAAAAATCTATAAATTTAGTTATAACAAAAGTATACTTAAGTGATAAACCTTGGTTAATTCGGTTAAAAATCTTGATTTCCTTAACCATGTCCATAAAATTCACTCAGTTATCCAAATTACACGCCGATACTGCTGCACGCGATCGAACTGTGGCACCACGAGCCACAAGTCACGACGCCGGTTCTCAAATTATTTGCCGAGCTCGTGCAGAACCGCAGTCAGCGTTTGCAGTTCGATGTATCATCGCCAAACGGTATCCTACTGTTCCGCGAGGCCAGCAAAGTGATATGCAGTTATGGCAACCGTATTCTCGGTCTTGAGGTTCCCAAGGATCAAATATATCCTTTGAAACTCAAAGGCATCAATATCTGCTTTAGCATGCTTAGAACGGCACTGTGTGGCAATTACGTCAATTTCGGCGTATTCAGGCTCTACGGCGACGAGGCTCTGGATAATGCCCTCAATACTTTTGCCAAATTGCTCCTCAGTATATCGCAAAGTGACCTCTTGGTGAGCCATGATTGGGAGCTGCATGAATCAGATTTATTTACTATCCGGTTGTTTCTAATCAAGCTTCTTTGCAGGACTATCCAAAGCTGTCTGTGACTTATTATCAATTACTTGAGTGCTTAGCACAGGATCATATGGCATTTTTATCCACCCTGGAGCCGAGCGTATTTTTGTACATTTTGTCGAGCATCAGCGAGGGCCTCACGGCACTAGGTGCGCTTAAAGACACCTACACAGGTCTGTGCGGCTGAAGATTGTTTTCTGGAACGTCATGAGTGTTATCGTCGTGAATCTTATCGTCGATAATTTTCACCATATTCTAACACTCTCTCAATCGCCTGTTGTTACATAGTCCTCTATATAGTGCTTATTTGCAACATTTTTCCCTCTATAGTTTCGTCCTAGTTAGCTTGAGAATGTACAAATTATGTTTTTGTCTTTAGATAATGTTTTGTTTTTAATTAGTTGACACATGTTTCATTTTTAACTCACCTAATAGTACCTTGAAGAACTTTCAAAAGCAATGAACCATCTTATTGAAAGTATAATTTGATGCATTTTTTCAAAGTAGATAAATAAATGAAACTCCATTATACAATACGTTAGAGAACATCGAAATATTGTTCGAACGACGTGTCTTAACACCAACTTTGTTTAAAAATTAACTCATTTTAACGAAAAATACTATTGAAGTGATTCCCATCAACGTTTTAACTTATGAAAAGTTCTTTCAATAATCATATAATAGGCACAAAGAGGAGAATCGAAGAGAGACACCCAGACCGTTAAAACAAGTCTGATCACACATTCAGCCGCACACATCTGCTAAACTAGTGTATTTCCTTAACATTTTGATTTTATCCATTTAAAATTCATTTGCATGGCTTGCGCTATGTTTCTGATATTGAGTACATATTTTGTTGTTAAAAGTCAAACCTAGCATTTGCTTCAACTTTTAAATAATTTTTAATCAACCATGACAGTTTTCCTTCACCTAAATTTTTTTTTCAGAAACAAACATATGTAGTGATTGTTGTGTAACACTAGATCACATTGTAACATATTTGTTTAAGCAACTATACCAACCAGGTGAGTTTGGACAACTTGACCACGCCAAATATACATAATCTAAAATTAAATTTTGTAAAAAATCTAGGTATTTTTTTTCCAGGTAAAAAGAAAATTGTGCCAGCTGGTAGCGACTTGTTCTTACAAGTTTTGAAGCAGCATCCCGAAATTCTCCAACAAATACTAAGTACTATTTTAAATGTGATAATGTTTGAGGATTGCCGAAATCAATGGAGCATGTCAAGACCCCTTTTGGGTCTCATTCTTTTGAACGAAGACGTTAGTATTGAACACTTGTAGTTTAAATGTTCATCAAAATACCTATCTATACTCATGAAAAAGATTTCTTTCTAGTATTTTAATCAGTTAAGGGGAAACATTATAAGAAATCAACCAGTGGATAAGCAAGCCTCAATGGTACAGTGGTTTGAAAATCTCATGGATGGCATTGAAAGGAATTTACTCACAAAAAATAGAGATAGGTGTGTAACGTTTCAAAATTACTTGCTCACATTTGTACTGGGTTTACATTAATAATTTTTCTTTTTTTTTCTATAGGTTCACACAAAATCTTTCAATGTTTCGAAGGGATATTAATGATTCGTTAAGAGGGCCTAGCTTAAACTCGACAAACACTGGCAGCGATATGATGACATCGTAGTGACACAGCCGAATGTGGCACGTCCCTACCCCTTGCGTGTGTGTATGTCTGTCGGCAATACATTTTTCAAAAACTATAGATTCTTGCCTGACAAACTGCTTAGATATACCTTTTACAGTGTGAAAGCGTGCCTGCGTGAGCAAAAGAGCATGGTATATTATTTTGATGACAGTGATGACAAAATGGAAAGATGTTTTGAATATGGTTTATACAAATGAAGATGATATTTAAAAAAATATAAAGTTTTTACACAAAGACTGCTGCTGCTCTTTAAACTTTTTATGTACACCCTCAGTGTTGTGTGCTGTCTTTGTGAATGAATTCGAGCTCCAAGGTTCGATAATCTTGATCAAAAACTAAATTTATAAGATTTATCAATTCTTTTTTTCACCCATTTGTCTGTCTCTGGTTAGGGGCTTTCATTTGTGCACGTAGAGCTCATTTTGATACTACATTTATAAGACATACAAGAATATTTCATAAAATAAATTTATTTCTATAGTTATGACGTTTTGGTTTTATGAATATTTCAAAAAATGTGATTTAGTTACTTACATACAATTATTCTTGCAAACTTTTTATCATCATTTTCCTAACCAGAGGTGAAATAATGAAAAATAGTGAGAAATTGTAGTGCTTTTGATTCAAGTTATATACATCATATACTCAAAGAGCAATACAGTTAAACCTTTCTCGACTTGTGTACGTTTAGATTAAATAAAAACGTTAATAAGGATGACAAATGTATTAATGTTGACAATGTGAAATTACGACAATTGTTCTGTCAGTGATATTCGGGTCAAGATATCTGCGCTCTATAAGTATTGAAAAATTTATAAAGATACAGTTGTCTCAGTCTCAGAACCAGTGGCTTTGAAAGGTATTCATTCATATTTCACATACTCATGTTTTACTTTGTACTGTCAGACTGGCATACGTAATGTAAACACTGTAAACATTGTATATGAAAAAATTTGTGTGCATGTGATTTTAAAACGCATAATGAGAACAATTATAAACTGAATGGAGGCATCATGTGAAGTGCACAATATATAAAGTTGACAGCACAACGAGGCGCTTTTAGAGGTGAAAACTGCTTTTTTTAGAGTCTGTTGTAACAAATTCATGTAATGTGAATCCTTGCATTCCTTGTGTGCATATAGCAATGGCAAAAATGAAGTTGAAGACATTTTTATACATGTGAAAATGTGGGGTACATATTTGATAACATGATGAAAATTTTTGAAGCATCTACTTAAAGTGTTAGTAAAGTAATTGAATGCCTGTAACTAAGAGTTTCAACCAGTTTTTTTTTGTTTTTTTTTTTGTTTTTTTTTTGTTTTTTTTTTGTTTTTGTTTTTTTTTT